ATTTCATTGTTATTCTTCTGTTAAGGTGATATTTATTTGCGATAGTGCAGTTTCCGATGGACCGTGAACGCACCGCAGCACTCAGCGCGATGACTTTTGTTCACAAGCGAGAGAGAACTTTTGAGCACAGGGGTCGCGTCGCCCGCAGTGACCATATCAGTCGCTCGTAGGCCAGTTATAAAAATAGACCTAATCACGAACTATCACTGTCTAAAATTTGATTAAATAGTGTTGCCATTCTTTTTGAATTGCATTTACAGTGATGTAAATTAAGAACAAAAAGTATAAAAAAAATACCGTATTTTCCGCACTAAAAGACACACTTGATTATGAGGCGCACCTTCAATGAATGGCTATTTTGTAAATTGTTTTTCATACATTGGACGCTTCAAATTATCAGGCGCAATCTACAATGCCTCCACTAGATGGTGCTACGCTCCTTCCATTCAACTCGAGGCGTCCGTTCAACTTGAGAAGCGAGACGTTCATGACCGCCTCTGAAAAATGTATATTAACTATTACTGTCCTTAAATGAAATTACGAAAATTGAAAATAATGCATCAAAACAGAAAATCAAGTGAGGAAATCACAAAATACATTCTATATCCCCCCTACAGAATTTATTTTGCGATTTCCTCGCTTGATTTTCTTTGTGGTTTCATTGAAGTAATAATTAATTTACGTTGGGAGCAGTGGCGCCACTGGGTGTTGGCAGAACGTCAGGAGTATCCAAAGTAAGCCAGGGGCGCCGGGGAGGTTTTTGCGCCCCATGTCGAGGGAGGAAAGCCGGTGTAGTGACAGCTGGATCGCATAAGCTACCGGCGTTTGCCCGTGGACTAAGTTACGATGGGGGTTTGATTGATCGGATGAAGTGATGATTCAAGTTGCATCAATCACAGTACCCACAGTCCAAACAGTCCAAAACAGAAGGGCAAAAGAAAAATCAGAAGGAAGATCAGAGTTTAGTAGAGCTCGGAGTGTGAAGCAGCGACATAGACGCCCGCGTCTTCTCACCTCGGAAGCATTTGACATATCTCAGTCTTTTATCTTATGAATGCTGTACATTTTTTATGTTCAGTAGTGAACAAAGCCTTCATAAACATGAATTTGTGTTCGGTCAAGTGTGTCATAGACCTGGCCACACAGCTTCCGGATTGCAGTCCAGCTCAAAACAGGTGTAATGCGCCCTCTCGTGGCCGGTTCTTTTCACTGTGACACATGACAGCGTCTCACTGTTACCTTTTCTGCTCGTGTGCTCCCTGGCGGCCGTTGGAAAACTCTTGAACAGGCCTCATTGTAAAATAACCCACAGGGTTGAAAGCGTGTGACAAAAGTACTATACTATAGTCTGGAAATTGCAGTACTTATTTTTTTTTTTTTACTTTATTTAAAACTTTGAAAAGCTGGCTACTCATTCGGGTAAGCATTAACAATTGTCCTTCTATGCCATGCAGCAAATCACAAGCAGACAGACACACAGCACATGGTGAAATAATATATCATTGCGGTCTGTTGGACCAAGAGGTGTACAACACAGCCAGCTTCCAATAGTGGCCAAAATGGAGCAAAGAAGTATCTGTGTGTATCCGCTTATGAGAACAGTAATCATTACCTTCATGGTGCCAAATAAGCCTCAAGCCATGCTAACTGCTTAAATAACCTGAGATTGACACGGCTAGCGTGTTTTAACAATTAAGTGTTTACAACAATTAAGTGCTTGGGTGAGTCCACTTTTCCAGAAATCTGTCTGGAACAGTGGCGGATGCTGGTCTGTCAAGGAAGGGAAGCTCAATTTCGGCCTACATCATAAAATCTGTCAGTTTATTTTTAACAAGGCGTCTTTTCCAGGGTCTTAACTGTGGTGATGTAAGTCAGTCTGTGAACACAAGTAATTACAATTACAACCCACCAGAAATAAAAGATTAATTTGTCACTTGTCGTTTTCAACAAAGAGTGTCGCAAAGATGATTGGAAGAAGTCTCCAGTTCAACTCAGAACAGAATAAGAATTGAAAAATGCTCCCACGGACGCCTACACCAAAAGATCGGTGATTGGCTCATTTTGCTGACAATCAAAAAGAGATTCCACCTCAGACAGAGCATCCAATCATCATGCAGAAAAGCTGAGCGTCCCGGGCCAGCCCATAAACGCCCACTGTCCATAGGCTCCCAGAGATGCTGAGCGTCCGGTGGGCGGGACAAAACCCGCATTTATCCAATAACTCATCTCGTTTCAATGTATTGGGACAACGGGCTCTAAACTCTCGAGACACCCAGCATCCGCGCTGTCGACACTCAGCACGGCAAATTCCGGCCCCGGGGCCGGATCCGGCCCGTTGGTCATTTTAATCCGGCCCGCCGAAGGTTGGTACAGTGCACAATTAAGGTTCGACGATTTCATTTGGACTTGAAATGACAGGCATTTCAACGCCAGGTGGTGCAGTTACTTGAAGTTGCAGAGCACAGGGAGGGAGGGGGAGACGATACGGAAGCTCGCAGTAGTAGCGCTAACTCAAGTAATTCCGTTCGATACGACGAGCTGCTAGCTCAAGTAATTCCGCTCGATACGACCACAACCGTGAAGCAGGGGAGATTAGTTGTTTTCCGCCTGTTTCAGGCACATACAACATGCCTGAAAGTGCTCACAAGCTACTACTGTTGTCTATATTCGTAGACTTTTCTATTTGTTAGTCCAATTTGACATATCTCAGTCTTTTATTTTTTGAATGCTGCACAATTTCTATGTTAGGTCGTGAATAAAGCCTTCATAAAAATTAGTTTGTGTTCGGTCAAGTCTGTCATAGAACTGGCCACACAGCTTTCGGATTGCAGTCCAGCTCAAAACACAGGTTTAATGCGCCCTCTCGTGGCCGGTGCTTTCACTGTGACACATGACAGCGTCTCACTGTTACTTTTTCTGCTCTTGCGCTCCCTGGCGGCCGTTGGGAAAATCTTTAAACAGACCCCATTATTAAATAAGCCGCAGGGTTGAAAGAGTGTGACAAAAGTAGCATTTTATAGTCTGGAATTTACGGTACTATTTTTTTAACTTTATTTAAAACTTTAAAAAGCTGGCTATTCATTCGGTTAAGCATTAAGAATTGCCCTTCTATGTCGGTGGTGATCGAGGGGAGGTCAAGTTCGAGACAGTGACTGAGTGGAAAGAAAGTCACCAACCAGCTCTTTTACTCGTCTCATTTTGTAGGACAAGCAGACAGACACACAGCACATGGTGAAATAATCTATCTTTGCGCTCTGTTGGTCCAAGAGGTGTACAACACAGCCAGCTTCCGTTAGTGGCCAAAATGGAGCAAAAGGAAGCGAGGAAGTATCTGTGTGTATCTGCTGAGTGTACTGACTATACTGACCACTCCTGAGACAGTAATCATTGCCTTCGTGGTGGCAAATAAGCTGCAAGCCATGCTAACCGCTAAACTAACCTGAGATTGACATGGCTAGCGTGTTTTAACACTGCAATTAAGTGCTTGGGTGAGTCCACTTTTCCAGACAATTGTCTGGAGCCGCATAAAATCGTAGCATATTCAATTTTGCGTTGTATAATGCAGGAGTTATACCTAAGCTTGGAGCAATGATGGGCACATTACACAGCAAGCATGACATTAGCATATACCGTATTTTCACACCTATAAGGCGCCATTAAAAGTCTAAAATTTTCTCCAAAGTGGACAGCACGCCTTATAATGCGGAGCGTCTTGTGTATGCGCTGAGTACCAAAACCTCAGAGCCTACACACTGTTTATGTAGAGAAAATGCGGAAGTGAATGAGGACAGGCATGCGGCGAAGAAGTCGGCCAATCAGTGAAGTGTGGGCGTGTATATATAAACATAAATAGAGAGAGAGAGAGAGAGAGAGAGAGAGAGAGAAAAGGCTGACGTGAGTGAGGACAGGCATGCGGCGAAGAAGTCCGCCAATGAGTGAAGGGTGGACGTGAAAGTGGACGCTAAAGGCACGCCCCTAGCAGGGACCAGCACCTGTATAAAGTGTGGATATGTGCTTTATTGCAAAACAACTTCGGTTTTGGTTTCTAAGAACCCCCGAAATGACTTCTACAAAGAGACACGCCTACAAAGCTCAGTTCAAGCTTCAAGCCATCGGGTACGGAATCGACCAGCCGCGAGAGAATTTCAAGTCAACGAATCCATGGTTCGCAAATGGAGGAAGCAGGAGAACGAACTGCGCCAAGTCAAAAAGACGAAGCTGAGTTTCCGTGGACAGAAGGCGAGGTGGCCCGAGTTGGAAGACCAACTGAAGCGGTGGATTGTTGATCAAAGAGCAGCCGGCAGAAGCGTCTCCACAGTCACCATTCGACTGTGTACTCACGTTTTTTGAT